TGGGCAAGGTTGATGGTTGGATTCGATGATCTTGAAGGTCTTTTTCAACCTAAATGATTCTATGATTCGGTATCTACATTCTCACTTACATGCTGCATGTATTTTCTAAATCACTTGATCTATTTTTTTCCACTCAGCTTCTTGGTAGACTACTGATTTTATTGGCTTATTTTAAAGAATGGTAGTTGACTGCCAGGTGTTGCTGGTTTGCTAACATCTTTGGAAAGTTTGTGTCTAAATTAGTTTGTATTAATTTTTTATAGATGTTAGCCCCTTTTAGTTTACTCATTTTAAATATGGTTTCTGCTGTTCACTTTTGGCTGTCTCACATGTCACCATTTCTGCCATTTTCTCCTGGTGGTTACAGCAGATTTTTCTCTTTTTGTCCTTTTAATTGTATATATATATATAAAAGATAGGTATTTTACCCTCTTTTTAATAATTTGAGGATGCATCTTTCATATCTTTCTAACATTTCCATACTCACCTAACTCCATATGTTTCGTTGGCTTGTTTGCTCCCTAGATGGTATCTCAGCTTGAAAGCCAAATAGCTAAATTGACTGAAGCTTTGGAAAATCAGACCAGATTGTACCAAGAAGCTCTGGAGAGGAGCAGGAAAGCTGAAAAATGTTCTGAGACTTTCCAGGATCAACTGAAACACTTGGAAGAGGAATTACTGTCTGTAGATCTGATGCAAGATGGTTTGAAGCTTGAGAACCAAAAAGTAGGTGCATGCATTATTTTCTTTTGCATAAAAGTCACTAAAGACAGAGATACAGCTAATTATATTGCATTGATCAGCTGGAGTATTACTCACCGTACTGTAAGTAATGCAAATTAACAAAGTCAGGCATCATGTAGGGAGTGCTAATATCTTTTCTTTGACCAACAATCTTAGTTGGAAAAAGTAGTTAAGCTTTTGGGTTCAAAATCCATTTAATGTGGACACCCCCCCCCCCCCCCAGATTAAAAGAAGTCTCTGTAAATACATCTGAGGTCCTTCAAGGATTCTCTGATCTCAAAGCTTTCTCTGATCTCTCTGTCTTTCTCTGATACATCATCTGGTCTGCAGTCTCTCAAGATCTTGCAGTCCTTGATTCTTTTATATCCTTACACCATCATGGCTACCAGGATTTTTTTATTAATTGTATGAATGAACACACTGTTAGCCTATAACACATCTGCATACTAAGATTTTGAAAAATGACACGGTACCTGGAAAGCTAAACCAGCCATCCAATACAGCTAAGAAAGACAAAGTTGTAGCATGTTACCAGGCCAAGGTCAATGCTTAGAAAGTTGAATTTGCAAAGAATCAACAATTTGGTGCTGTCTGTTTTGCATTAATCTATGAGAATAACTTTTATGAATGAAGCATCCACCACATCGGGAGTAAACCACAAAATGGAGCTGTTCCTTCCCCTCTGCTTCCTCTGTGAAGAACACGTGGCCCTAGTTTCTTAATTTCTCTCTAGGTTTTGCTGCAATAAAGAGATTTTTGTTGTGATTTTTTTCTGTTAATGAACAACTTCAGTGCTTTCTTATGCTGCTGCTGGTTTTAATTTTTTGAACCAGAAGGATCATGAAACAAAAAGAGATTCTTGCTGTTTTATCATCTTGGGCTCAAGCAACAGTTATGGAACTGTTTGGTTTTTGTTGTTGTTGTTGTTGTTGTTGTTTCTTTGCAAAGATTATGACCTGCAACAGAAGTGAGAGAAAACAAAGGCAAACATAGTTCTTAGTGAGGAGGAGAGCTTTGGATTTTGCAAGAGAGGCTAACTGAGACTAGGGAACTAATGCAATTTTTAAAGAGCTAGCAGGACAGGACAAAAGAAGGAAAAACCAGATTAAATAATACTTGATATCTGTATGTGTTCACATCAGTAAACCAGATGGAGATGCAATGAAAATAGTCTTTAAAGGAATTTGTAAACCAATAACTGTTGTCTCTAAAACTTGCTATTCCAAAGAAGGGCAAAAGACTGACCATGTTAACATTCCTGCATCTCCTCAGACTACATTGGATCTTGCCCATGGCATCCCTGGTACCAGTTTTACCTGTTTTATTGCTTACAGCAATGGGCAATCACAGGATTTGAAAATAGTTGGGATGTAGCTGTCCTTTCTAACTTCTTGTCAATGCATGGTCCTGTAAAGCAGCAGAGCCACAGACAGGAACTGGAGTCAGAAGCAGACACACATACCTAGTGCTCTTACTACAGAAGAGCAAAAACCAATCTCATCTTGCTAAGAAGATAAATATAGTACATCCAGGGATTTATGAACAAAATAAATATTGACTAAAAAAGGACAAATGGAGAATTTGCAATTGTGTCAGGAATTTGTACTGTAAAGGTACCCTTTCAATACATTATTTCTTGTGGATAGTGGACTTGGCTATATATATTTGGTTGCTGGTGTAGGGGGAATTGCTTTTAAATTGTACTTCAGGACTTTTGATGAAGTTCTTTTATTCTTTTACCCACTTTTCCACATCTTATCTTAGTATCTGAAATTTCTGGAGCAACTTAATGAGAAGATGAAGTTGGATAGCCTAGCAGCAGAGGTTGGATTTGATATGAATGCGGATGCAATCCTAGCCCGGGTAGAGCAATTGGTGAAACTGGAAGGTGATGCAGTGATTGAAAACAAGACTATGGCATATAGCCTAAGAAGGAAGGTAGGCAAAAAAGACATACTGTTACTGTTTGTTTCAAAGATAAACATTATGGCTATACTTCTGTAGCGGCTTGCTAGAGGCAGCAGATTGCAGCTTCCCGTATGTGCAAGGAATTTCAAAGATGTCCATTACATAAAAAGAAGATAGTAAACATTTGCAAACTGTTCAAACTGACTGCAAATTAAAACAACTAAAATCACCAGTTGGTTAAACACATGATACTGCTTTTCACACCTTCTTAAATAAATGTATGAAGTTTATATGTGTATATATGTCTACTTTTTAAATCTAAAAGGATCTGCTGAGAAGGGGGACATCTTACACAACCTTCTTTAGAAACTAGTAGGATGTTGGTTGTACTTCACAAAGAATTTCAACATCTCCAACAAGAACTGTGCTCCTTTAGGAGCAAATCTGTTCAAATTTGGTCAGACACCTCTCCATCATCCTGTTATGACAGAGTACAATCTTCTGGTTTTAGGATTATCAGAAAGGTTCAGAGCTTAGAATTAGGTCTGTTTAAAACAACACTGTATTTTTTCTGGAAGCAACTGCCTCTCTAGCAGGGAGTATAGTATGTATGTTAATATTCCTTAGATGTTCCAGAGTAAAGCCTGGCAGCTCAGCTCAGGTAAACTGAAAACAGGTAGCTCCCTGAGCACCAAAATTACAAAACGAAGCTGCTGGACCTTGTACTGGAGCAGTGAATGAAAGCTTTCTTATTTCTGTATATTGATTCTCCTTCTTGCACAATAGCCTTAATTAAATGATTAAAGATGGAAATATCTTAAACTACCACCACTGAAACCAGTTTCCTTAATGAATCCCTCTTACCTCTTGCATTTGACTAGAGTCTTATACTTCAGACAATCTCAGATATTATGAATGATGCACAAGTATTTATGTCCAAATTGGGTGCAGTCTATATGTAAATTCATTCTAAAAGGTAGTGCACAAATTCAGGGATGGAGAAGCACAATGAATTGGTAATATAAAAGGTATCAAGTTAGTGTATATATGTTTATACTGCTTTACAGGGTTTTCAAGAGAGGAATAGGATTTCAGGTTAAATATGGGTTAAAAAAATCCCAAACACAGGGATTAAATTTGCAAAACTGTCTGTGTAGTACCATTGTCTTTCACATACATTTTTTCAAATATCCTTGTGTTTGGAAAACTAGTTGAAGACTCAGAAAGAAAAACTTGAAAGCAAAGAGCTGCACATGAACCTTCTGCGGCAGAAAATAACCCAGCTAGAAGAAGAGAAGCAAGTAAGGACCACCTTAGCTGTGGAGAGGGATGAGGCCAATCTTGCTGTCAGAAAGTTACATAAGATGATAGAGAGGTTACAGAAGCAGCTTGATCTGGCGATGGAAATGAATACTGATCTCAAAGCCAAGCTGTCTGAAACCAATGAACTTAAGGTGAGTTAAAAGGCTACATTTGTGCTTCTCTCCAAAAAGGTTACATTTGTGCTTCTGTCCATTTTTCTACTCCAGTTTGATACCGCTGGAGTTCATTTACAATAAATGTGTTCATGGAGAATTGCTTAAATCCATCTAGGTGGGGAAAACAATTATAATATTACAATGTTTTGGGTATTTTGCAATTTGTCTGGATATACTAAGTAGCATCTGTAAAGCACAATGTAAATTTTCAGACTAGCGTAAGAAAAATATGATATATGCATCCCTTTCTTTCCTGTTGATATGGCTGTAATCTTGTATTTTCCCATACATTGCTCACAGAAGATCTATTCTGATAGGTATGAGGAAAAAAAGGTTTTTTTTCCACATAAAACAGGCAAGATGCTGAATTTTCATTGTTCCTGTGTTTTATTACATTGCAGCAGTAATAAATTACCTGCTTTAACTCAGGTGAATACAGGTAGTGTGCAGTCATTGATAGCTTGCCACTGCTGGTAGAAAGGAAGAGTGATTTTATGTGAGTTTTTGTCCTGTGGCTGATGGAGTAATAAGAGATAAGTAGCGGCATGTTCCAGCTGAACAATTTTTACCAACAAAACATTTGGCAACTCTTTTTCATACTATTTTTCCAGGGGCTAGCACAAAGTGAACTCTCACTGTAGGTTTTTGTCTATCCAGTTACCTCTTTTCACAAAACCTTTAGAGAATTAACTGTCTTTGAAACAAAAATCTTTTTGTTAATTGAGTTGAAATTAGCCAGTCTCCTTTAATAACTTTTCAGTTCACATGTGCATGTAATTTCATCAAGAACCCATAAGAAACCACATTAAAGTGCTTACTCAAGATTACTCCTGATATTTTTATTATTTGTTTGTGTTAGATGAAAAAGTGTGACAAATTTAACATTATTTTATGTTATTGCAGATCAAAACTTTGGAGCAGAACAGAACGATAGAAGAACTCAGTAAGTCTCAAGGCAAATTGGAAAGAATGAAAGAAAAGGCTGAGAAACAACTTACCTCTGTCAAATCAGAACTCCTTTTAAAGGACCGTAAAGCTACTGAAGATAAAGAAAAAAACAAAACTATGTTAGAAGCAGTTACCAATGAGATGAAGGTGCTTAAAACAGCCCTTGCAGAATTAGCAAAAAGAGAGAGACAGGTAGGTGTATAGGTATTTGAGAACTGCTAGCTGTCACATAGAATATAAGAATGTGATATAGGTGGAGCAGCTATCCAGCTGTGCTGAAAACTTTTGTGAACATTATTAAACAAGGACATTTTAGCTGACACCTGTGAGCCAGAGTAGCAGTTGTGATTCTGAGAGGCAAAGCTATTTTTCAAGTTATATATGCAAGAGAATGAATAATGAATACAGACATTGTTTTCTTTGTCCATTGCAAAATATTATATCACCTTTTGGAGAAGTATAAAAATGCTTTAAAATCCTGGTATCTTTTTAAGGTATGTTTTCCCCATATATTTTAGGTGTAAAACTTATCAACTTCTCCTCATCCATTTCCTTATGTTTCTCCTCATCCGTCTCTTGCACTTTCTCCTTGCCAATTGTATGAGATTCAACAAGGCTAAGTGATAGGACAAGAGGAAACAGCCTCAAGTTGCACCAGGGGAGGTTTAGATAGGATATTAGGAAAAATTTCTTCACTGAAAGGGTTGTCAAACATTGGAACAGGCTGCCCAGGGAAGTGGTTGAGTCACCATGCCTGGAGGTATTTAAAAGATGTGTTGATGTGACCTTCAAGGACATGGTTTAGTGGTGGACTTGGCAGTGCTAGGTTTACAGTTGGACTTGATGTTCTTAAAGGTCTTTTCCAACCTAAATGATTCCATAATTCTATGTTATCATGTATAGGCCATAAATTCAAAGAATGTTGGAAAAGATCAGAAAATAAAACCAAACCAAACCAAAACAGACTTAATATTGAATGTAACTGTTTTGGATCTATTTGTGACATATAACTTTGTTAAAGTTTAGGTTAGAAAATTTTTTGTGGTAACTCACCTTGAGGAGAGTGTAAGGAGTTTGTGGGAAACACATTAGTAAATGTGTTCCATTCGAATTTCAAATAATTGTGAAGTACCTGCATATTGTGTTTCGTATGAACTTTATAGATGGCATAATTGTTGAAAGCTAGTGTGATGCTTCTTTAAAGTAGAAAAATGTGTAATTTTAAATTCCTTATTCCAACTGCTTAGAACTTTGTTAGTTTTCCCAGCTAAAATTTTTATGCTATATGTTGGCCTTAACAATGACTGTGGATGAAGTTTAAGAATGCTATTTCAAAAAAAGAGTCCAGAAAAATATTTTTTTTCTCACATGGAGGAAAGACCAACAACCTGGGGATCTTTCTTCCTGGAAAGCTTTAGCACTGTTTTTTATACTGAAGGTTAGAAATTTGTCAGGAAAATTTAATTTCTTTGTATGTCTCATGAGGAAACTAAGCATCCTGCACACAGAAGAAGGTATGACTTATATTCAGGAAATTATTACATGGAGTCATACGTTGAGTACTTACTAAAAACACACATGTTGAATTTGTACTGTCCAAACTCAAGGCATTTCAAGCCACTTGAATACTGTTGCAGTATTCTTTGGCTGAATTTGAAGAACATGGGAAAAGTGAGGTAAGTGGGCTATGAAGTGCAGAATGCTCAAGGACAGCATAGCACTAGTTCTCAAGCTTTCTGGGTTAGTGAAAGAAAAATGTCAACTTATAATTCACCAGCATCCACAATCATCTGCATCACAGAAACTTTTTGAATACATGCAGGTAGAGCTATACTGCTAAACTAGGAGCAAGGCTGTTTGGAAAACCAATGCCTGGTACTTGTGCAGTGCTGATTAACAGTAATGGCATTTTGAGAATATGAGAATTGCCAGTAATATTCATAGCATACTCTCCTGTATCTTACCAGTTTAGTTAGCTAAAATCTGTCCTTAATATAAAGCTACTGTTGCTAAATCAGATAATTCATTCTAAACTCTCTCTCTCACTAATTAACATGTGAGGTTTTTTTCCTGACTTCTCTGGAGCCATTACCCAAGAATTCCTTCCTTATCCTCAATCCTGTGTAGTTTTTCACCTGCTTCAGACTCACTTGTTTTTCCTTCTTGGGGAAGCTAAACAAGACCAGACTTCTCTCACTCTCTGTAAAAGGTAGCGAATGCAGATGTTAAATACTTCTCTGAGCATGTGTGTATATATTTAATCTGAATATAAGCACAGCTATGTCATCTGTGTCTGTATGCATGTCAAGAAAACTGCTAGAAACTGAAATTGCTGTTACCTGATGGAGTTGATCTGGCCAGGTTGACAGCTTGTATGTGCATTTGCATGTTTTTTTCAGGTGTACTCTGCTTTTCACTCACTATGTGTAATGTTAAATAACATCGTAATATTGCATGGGTATTTTCCATGCTGTCAAAATTAAAAGTATGCAGAACTGAACTACTGCCAACTGGTTAAGATATTGATTTGTCTTGTGATCATAAAAAAGGCAGAACATACCCAAGTGAAGTCAGAAATCAAGATCGGATTCAAATAATTTAAAATTAACTCATAATTGGAATTTAACACAGTGTTTCTGATTGTTCTTTGCTCTTTAGACTATTAATTCCTACTAAGTTTAAGAGGAAAATTTAGCTTTGGCATTTCAGTGTTTTGTTCCTTTTTTTTCTTTATTTCTTTTTTTTCTCAGAGAATGCACAGAATCAAAGCATCTGAACTGTTAGAAGTGAAGTCCTGTAAGCGGGGTGTAATAACACTGCCAATCTGCTTTAGGATTAACAGTCAGCTTTGATGGCTTTAGCAAATAACAGCAAATTGTGCATATTCTTGGGTAGACTTATAAAACCATTTAAAAAAAATGGTGCTCAAAGCATTATTAAATCATACTGCAGAGTAAAAGCCATACAGAGATGAAGCTATATGTGAAGAGTCAAAAAAGTAGAGATTAGTAGAATGGATATATAGTGGAGAATTAGTCGGACATATTGAAATTTCACAAGAGTAAGTCTAAGTTTACAGATATCCATACTGGATTTCTTCTGTCTGTGGGGTGAACAGAAAAACTTCCTGACTTCAAATATCATTATTGCATATTTCTGAATATAAATAACTATCAGCATAGCCGACATTCATTTTAATAAGACTAGATAAAGAGTATGCATAATGACTGATGAAAAAATGATGTTCACAGGGACTGATAACATCAGTATATGACCACTGCAGTCAACTACAGATTAAAATCTGAATATATTTTATTTTTATATCTATTTAACTCAAGTCATTATTTGCAGTAGTACTTGGAGTAAGAATATAAATGTCAATGTTTTGGTTGAGTTTTTGGTGGTTTTGTTATAAGGATTTTTTTCCAGTCGTGGTTCCCCCCGCCCCTTCTTTTCTTTCTATTGGAATAAGAACCCTTCTACTTTCCTGTAGGTACAGCATGAAAACAAAATGTAGTGGTTTTTACTTCTGCTCCCCCCTCCTAATAAATGCTCTAAATTTTATTCATCTCCTCTCTTTTACTTCAGATAATTTTACTCACTGGATGGAAGGTGCAAAGAAAATTTATCATGAGTGCTTACTCCTGTAGCAAACTTTTGGTTTTGAGTCTTTAGTGATGTTTATCTTTCTACTATTTCTCTCCTTTACTTCAAATTGTGACTATCTTAGAAATATTAACTGCTATTGAAGAAAGCCTTAAATAGAGTTAGGTGGTACTTCTATTAGCTTCTAGTATTTCAGCAGAACTTGTTGTGTTCTTCATACCTCTGTTGCATTGTTTTTAAAGCTGAAATATGTTTCTCATCTAATTTTTTTTCTAGCTCTTACATGTTTTAGTGCAAGATTTTAAAAAGTTGTTCATAATGTGCTTACAGCACTGTATCCACTTAAGAGTATAAACATGCATCTTGCTCCATGTGAGACATGGAATAGCTTTCTAAAGATCGTCCAGTGTGTATTGTCTGTTGCTTTTGTTTGGAGTTTTTAAAATTCAGATTGATGTCCTCTGTTGGGGCATTTTTGCATCCAAGAGTGATGGTTCTTTTTGTCAGTTTATGTGGAGAATTTCTCTGTCGTCAACCCTTTTCCTGCATTTTCACTGAACTGCAGCTTTGTCTGCACTGTACTTTATATGCCACAATATAATAACCAGAAAAATTGTTTTTTGTCTAAGTGTTATTCCATTAAAGTGGAAGAAAATCCTCAATTTAAAATTCACATAAATGAATGGCTTAAAGGATTTGTTTAAGGGCTCTATGTGCTTTCCAGTTTAGGTTATTTGCTGATGAAAATTATTGAATTCTTAACATATTTATTGTCCATTCAGCATAGCTATGACCTCTTTTTCCCATCAGAAATAAAGAGTGAGATGATTGTGTATACCTTTTAATTTTCATCTATTCCCTCTGGCAAACTCCTGCCGGACCAATAATCTGCATCAGTGCATCAAATTTATTTTGATCACATTTGACACATGGTCGTATTGCAATTTTGTTTACTCACAGTTGCTGTAATTATATTGAACAGCATGCAACAGCAAAGATACGAGAACAAGAAATTTGGTGTAAAACGCAGACCCTAATGTGCTCCTATGGGATCAGCTGGGTTTGCTGTATAGACGTCTTGTGGGGGTTTAATTCATCCAAAGACTGGATCTTTGTAGAGGACTGCCTTGATCTTTTAACATAAAGTCTGTATGGAAACAAATTCCAGCTCTGCTGCCTGCTCATTCTGTCTGTGATCCAGATGTTTAAAAAAATATTTAGCTTCTGCTAAATTGTACTTGCCTAGCACACTGCCAGAGCCCCACATCAGTGACCTCCTGACTTGGTGTTGAAAAGAATATATGGGGACATGGGGTTTTTTGGTGTTAAATTGTTCCTATGTTTCATCCAAGGCATTGCACTGCCTTGGTAAGACAGATAGCTGGGACTGAATTCTTAAATCCTTCTGCACTATACTGTCTTAGTTTCCATATTTGTTTTTCTGAACTGATGGCAGCTCCTTGGGGTTTGTTCTGGGATGAAACAAACTGTCTTTGGCAAAGTCTTGGAACTGAGACCTTGTTTTCAGAGTTTTTGCAGTTTGCCTCACAGATGTTGTAAGTGCTTTAGAGTTCTGCACAGTATTCGTGGGGGTGGACACGTATTTCAGGAGTGCTGTTATCTCCATTTCAGGAGCGCATTTATCTGCTCCTCTACCATTAGCCGTCAGCATGATTGTTGGTGTGAGAGTGCTGCCACACCAGAGCACCAGTCTGGCTTCTTGATGGTTTTGACAATTCTGTGACATTTTGAGTCTCTGTCATGCTTGGGAATGGGGATCTTGACGTTCAAATAGATAACAAGACAAGCATATTTGCTCAAATAGGAACATTTTCCTTTTTTAATTGTGTGTTAATGATAAGGGGTATTAAGACATTGGTCATTTGGACTGTGTAATGCATTGTCCATTGAAGAGGTATTGAAGTTTGACTTATAATGATCCATATTGTGAGTTGAGAAGAGTAAATCAGCATTCATGTTCATCTGATCTTAAGTTTTTAATCTAGTTGCTGACGGGGGCACTGGTGATGACAATTACTTGTGGATGTCTGCCCATTTGGAACTGCAGAGAGAAAGCTGGTTTCTTTAATTACTTTGCCAAATACTCTTCCTATGATATATTTTCAGCAGCTACGGACAGAACAAAAATGAGCATTTCCCAGGCTGCATCTTGCATTTTGGCTGCATCCTGATTCCAAGTCAAAGTCAGACTGAAGAAAGTGCCAAACCTCCACCTTTCTTCTTCCTCCTTTCTGTTGTGATTTCCACAAGAAAGTGCAGGGTAGAGGGGAGCAGTGGCAGGCAGTGGTCAGGAGCTTAGGGTCAGGACCAGCACCTTAGCCTGTGCCGTGCGATGCGCCCACCAGTTTCCAGTTGTCTGTATAGTTTGCAGTCATCTAGGTCAAATACAACTCCTCTTCCTGTCTTTTGCTCAGTTTTCCCTGTTGACTCAGCAGGGAAGATATGCCTGTGAGGGATACTAAAGAACACTTGAAACTGTGTTTTGTTTTCAAGATCCTTAGCACCTCAGCTGTTTACATGTTTTGGTATTTGAGCTACACCCCAAAAGGCTGTTTCCGTCCTCTTCAGCTCTCTGTATTGAGCAACAGCAGAAATTCCTACATTTTGCACTGCTAATACAAATCCTTGTGGGTTTATGTGTGCATATATGTATATGTTTTTCCAGGCATCTCCTTTGATTGGTATTTGATTTATTAGTAATTCCTTTCTGTTTGCTCTTGCAGCTGGCAGATTTCCGAGAGGTGGTATCACGGATGCTGGGCCTCAACATTGCCAGCTTGGCTCTTCCTGACTATGAAATTATTACACGTCTTGAAGGGTTGATTCACTCTCATCAGCACCACTGCTTCCCCTGTGTCTGCCTCAAAGACGTGGCAAGGGCACCAGAGGAACACTCGCAAAGAAACATAGAGCTTCTTCACTGAAACACGTTTTTTAAGGAGACAGAACAAAGTAAAATTTTCCTTTTTTGCTTCCCTACCTACTAGATGTGCATACAAAACAGACATTTATTTCTGTTCCCTACTCTACAGATACCAACTTGGGCTGATTTCTAGTGTTTCAGTAGGGAGACTGAGCCGAATGGATAGAGTAAAGCCAGCAGGCTAGAGAGAGCAAACAGAAAATGCCTGGGCAGCATAATACTTCAGTTATGAAAATGATAGGCAATATGTGAACAATGTGTAGCCCTTCAGTTGCAGAGGCATTGAAGGCATGGGCCACCCGAGGTCAGTTCATGGTTTTGGGAAGTACTTGCTAATGAATGTCAGCTTCAGTGACATTCCTTGTGCTTTACCTCTGGGTGACAGGGATGAAATAAAGTGGGGGTTGTCCCGCTGCTGTTCCTCTTGAAAAATGGGACCTCTCTCTGCATTTTTACGCATAAGGACTTTAGCTTCAAGACAGTTAGCTGCAAGTTAGACAAAGGACTATCAATTTTGGAACAAGGGATTTTCTTCTGTTGTTTTCCTTAGTCTGCTCTTGTGCCAAAACAAAAAGTTACGCTTTTTCGGCAAAGTCTCTTTCACTGGGTGCAGTCATGTGTCTGACGTAGATAGATTTGATAAAATTGCATGCTGCTCTTGGTCATGATGCCTTGAAAATTTTTCTTCTAGCTGCTGTGTTCCTTGGACAATTAATCCATAGGCCAAATAAGTGGCAGTTCTTCTGAGTTAATAAAGAGTTATATTAAAATGCTTATCCACTACAGTAAATAGTTGAATTACTAAAGTCTTTATTTTCAGAAAAGCAATGATGAGGTGTCCAGAACTACCTCTTAACCATAAAAGCTGCTTGTCTATCACCTTTTCTGAGTGTTAAACTTCATGATTTTTTTAAAGAAATTTGAACAATAAATCTGTTTTAATAGCACACTCAAACGTGATTCTGTGTTTTTAGTTGTCTCTTCCCATTATGTATTTTATGTGGATGTGTAGAACAGTAAAGAAGACTTACCTATTTATGTCTGACCATTTGTGGACTTTCTACAGTATCTCAGCAAATGATAACCCACTTACTAAAACTGAACGCACACTTTTAAGAAAAATGAGACTTTTTCAAGTAAGTGTGGTAAATTTGGTATCTGGCTAGGGACTCAATAGGTTGCTTTTATTTCACTTGCCTCTGAAGAATCATTTCTCAGCGACTTGTTAGTAAAAAACTAACAAACACCCAAGCTTTTGCAAAATCAGTCATTTGAGGAGATATGGTAAATCATATATTCTTATGCTCCTGTGGCTACCTGGATTAAAATCAATTTCCTTTCTTGTTTTAAAATGTAACATTGTTTTTCAGGTAAGTTTTAATAAATGCAATAAAGGAAAAAGCTAATATTAAATTATATAATCTTAGGAAAGCACAACAGTTTCAAAGTAAAGTAAAAGATTGAAATGTAAATATTCTTAGGCATGATATGTTTGTTCAGAATTTAGAGGGTGGAAAAGGATGTAATAATTTTCTAATTCTTCGTCAGACAATACAAATAGTTTCAGCTTGTGTTTTGCTGGTTCTGTAGACACTTCTGCTTGAGTTATTACTAAATGACAAAACCTGTTTTCTTCATCCACGCTAATAAATATTGTACAAAGCATATTTCACCATATTTTGCAAGTTAAACTGCATTACAAAATTAGGTCCACTCAGCCCAGGTAGTACATTCATAACTTTAAGAAACAGTCTCTGAGAGTGCCAATCATAAAGTAAGTATGCATATTTGGCCATGTTTTATGGTAGTGAGGTGATTTCCTAATGTCTGCCAGGAGACTTAAAATCTGCCATGCTCAGCAGTCCTGTATCCTGCCACCCCATGACCAGCCACGGCACCAGCAGGGAAGTTCCAGCCCCACAGAAGCCACCAGCAAAGTTCTCCGAATTACTTCAGCGGAGGCAGGTTTTCACATGAAGTTGATAGCAAAGCTTAATTACTGTTTTGCATGTTAAGCCAACAGAAAGTAGAACAAAGGTTTTCTAATGCCCCCCCCCCCTTTTTTTTTTACATAGTGGATCTGTATTTTTTGAAATATTAATGCTAATGTTTGTCAAGGAATATGACCTCTTAGCTGACTATTAATATTCCCTGTATTTGCTTTACTTTTGGAAGAGTACTGACATCTTTGTTCATTTAGCCAAAGCAAATAAATAAAAAAAAAAAAGTAAAGTAGTAATTTGACATGAACAAAGTTCAGGTGATTTTTGACCCATGTAATTTAATTAACCCCTGAACAAAGTTTAAACTGACTTGCAATATTTTTTTAAGTTTTGTTTAATACAACATTGAATTTAGTCTTCTGTTTGGAAAAAAAAAATGAGAACAGGCTTATGAATGTTTTCAACATTTGTTTCAAATATTTTTTCCTTTTTTAAACCAAGATGCATTCAACACAAGACAGATCTGATAGAAACCTGGAAGTGTGTATTAAGGCTGTGTCAGCAGACACCCCTCTTTCAGTAGATTATTTTTACTAGGTTTGTTTGTATTAGTAAAAGGTATGGGATTAAGAGTTTTCTATCTGTTCATAATTACTCTTTTATTGTGGTAAAAGATTCTTGATTTATCAACAGAATACATATTAAAAAAAGTAATATGTGTGAAATCACAGGATGGTACAGTTACAGAGCTAGATTTTTTTCTCCACATGCTAGCTGAACCAACTAGAAGCTGAACCAACAGTAGTAGAAGCATGATTCCTCAAAGAAATTAGTTGCAAAAGCATTTAAATGCTTTGCTGAATTAGAATTAGGAAGCATAAAGACAGAGCACATTGACTTATGTTGCTCTAGAATTTATTATTATTGTATAAAGCAGTTTGCTTGCTTTTCCACATTTTCTTTCTGTGGATATGTGCACCATCCACACTTTCCTAGGGCTGTTCAGTTACTGGATTATTTTGTACATTATGATGGTGCAGGGGAAGGGAAATATGGATGACCCAAGTCATAATAGATTTAAAAAAAAAAAAAAATAAAGCAGGTGAAGAATCAGGCACGTTTCTAGAGAAAAAAGGCTACTGGATCATGTATTCTCCCAATCTTTTTCATATGAAATAGAAGTATTTGTTAAGACTACAGATGCTGACCATTTCTCCTGACCATCAAAAAGAAAAAGGGGGAGGAATGGAACAAAATGAAGGTAAATTCTCTATGAATTTAGATAAAAGGGATCTCTGATATTACTGAAACACAAAAACCAAAATTAGTTAACTATGTGGAAAATAAAAAAATGATAGTTTGCCAGAATAGAAATTGGAAAGAAAGTTCAAACATAATCCTTTTCAAATGGAAGATTTCAGATTGCTTTGTTCTTCTGTCAAAACAAGTACGAATCCACTATAGCAACGCTTTTATTTCTGGAAGAAAAGGAGGGTGAGTTTGTTAGACTGTACTCATAATTAGTCAGGAATAACTGAGTCAGAAATGAAAGATCTACAAAACAAGACAATTTGCTTGAACAAAATAGATGACTTTTCTGACAGTTTTAAAGTCAGCTAATGAGCCCCGAGACAGAGGAACACTCCTTTTCAGGAGGGAATAAATAAGACAGTTGAGATATGTTGTCGTATTTTTTTCCCTGTGATTATTTACACTTTTGGTAAGTAGTAGAAACAAGAAAAAGAAGATTGCAGTGTGAGCAAATGAGGTCCCAAAGTGTTAACTTCCAAGAGGCCCCAGACAGAGAAACCAACTGTCAGGCAGCATTTGGTAATGCTGGGGATGGGGCTGGAGAGCAGGGAGTCTAACCAAGGTGGGAGCTGAATAGGGTTAGGCCCCTGGATATGTGTATGTACACGGGTGTTTTTACAAAGTGATGATTTGGGCTTTTCTTTTGGAAATGGGATGTTAGTGTGTTGTGTGGGGAAGATGTGTGCTTGGTTATAAACCAAACATTCAATTTACTATTAATACTATTTTTAAGTAGGCCACTGAATGCAATTTAATCTGAAAAAAAGAACCTCGATCTCCAAAATGTTCGCGTTACCACACCTTCGTGGTGACAAATGCTCCTTAGGGCGCTGATCGGGAGGCTGGAGGGCAATCGTTCCTGCCAGGCGGTGCAGCCAACCTCTGCCCGCGCCCTGCAAGCAGCCCTGTGGGCAGCAGAGCCCACCGCCGAGGGCTGCCTGGGTCTGGGCAGCCCGCCTGGCTGTAATCACGCCGGTGCGTGCCGTCTGTCTGCCCATCGGCTGCCAAGTCCCCTTCTCACGCGTGACCCTGGCTGACCGGGATGCTGTGCTGCTTGTCAGGCTATGTGCTGGGACCTCCGATTACAAAACAAATATGCGGTGGCAGCTGTGGGACACTGGAAGACCTTCCCCAGTGTTACTATGAAGGCAGCGACATGCCAGCAGAGCTGACTCAGCCCTTTCCCCTTCTGGTCATGTTTTTGTACTGGGAGGAAGAGCACGACCACAGCGGCTCTGCGGGCTGTGGCGGGGTGTTAAGGAGAGCTTTGCAAATGGGGCTGTAAATCTGGGTGGATTGAAGAGCCACCTCTGGTCCCAACAGAGGGTGTCTGCAGTCTGTAACCTGCACTCTGATTGATGGCCAGATTCGTCGTGGGCTCAAGCTGGCCCAGTGAAGAAGTAAGAAGCACTAAGACAAGTATTTCAAAGCATTTCTTCTGTGGATCCTTCATACTGCAGTAACAGTGTAAAAATATGCATTATAAAGTAGCAGTATAAATTGATATGGGCAGCCATTCTGGCTGGCTTCTTGCCCTTAGGGGTGATCAGAGACTCACAATTAACCCAACCTGCATCCCAAAGGACAAGCAGAAATATGGTACTGGCAGACAACTCTCAGACCTTTCCCTGAAGTAATTTGTTGGTTTTTCTTAGCCTCCAAGCGCTCTGTTAAATTTGCCATCACTAACAATATTTTTCTCACCTTGACCTTTCACAGATCACTTTATAGGCTGCGAAATCTCTGT